AAAAGAAAGAAAAAGAAAAAAGAAAAGCGGGGAAAAAAAGGACAAAGAAAAAAAAAGGAAGAGAGATAAAAAAAAAAAAAAAAAAGAAAAATGTCGGAAACCGGAAAATATTAATGACTGCCATAAACGATTCCCTTTCATGTTCTTATATTAGTCCTCTGTTATCGTTCCTATATCCGCCATTCGGGATAACATGGCGTTAGAGTCGAGTTAGAGACGACAGCTCAGCACGAGTACGAGCTTAGAATATTTATTCTCTCTCTCTCTCTCTCTCTCTCTCTCGGTCTTTCTTAATTGGTTGTACGATCGGCCAATCGAGTAGAGGCTAGAGCCTTCTCGAAACTCGACGAAGTAACTAGCACGACGGTGCCCACCACTGACGGATAAAGAGAACCATGGTATATGGTATCTACTAAGCCTTGCGATATATAGTCGAGCATGATGCGGGCCAGCGTGGGAACTATCCTTCGGTGTACAGCGGTTCTCAACTTATAAATAAATTGGTAACAAATTCGTTATTAAACGTTTTCTTCCTCGCGTAATTAGATAATATTTTTAATTTTCTTTTTTCTCTCTCTCTCTCTCTCTCTCTCTCTCTCTCTCTCTCTCTCTCTCTCTCTCTCTGTCTCGCTTTTGTATTCTTCTGTTTTTTTCTTTTTTTTTTGGGCCCTTTTTCCTTTCTCCTTCTCCTCCTCCCGTAAAATTCTATATTTTATTCGACATTTTGTTTTTTTGTTTTTTTTTTTTTTCCCCTTACTCGTTTTTCTTCTCTCTCTCTTTTTTCCTTCCAATTTTTAACACTCGATTTTAACACTGATCTTGTAATATTGTCGATCGATCGATAAACACGATCGTTCGTTTGATTATCAACAATGTCGAGTTATTATTAATTGTAATGAAGTAAACTATTTTTATTTTATCGTACGAAATGATTTTTATCGAACTATCCTATTTTCGTTTTTTCTCAGTCGTCGTTCGAATTGAAAAGAAGAGAAAGAGAAAAAAGAAAGAAAGAAAGAAAGAAAGAAAGAAAGAAAGAAAGAAAGAAAGAAAAACGTAATGTAAAATACGTTTTTTCTTTTTCTCTCATTTTCTTCTTCTTTTTTAATTAGAAAAATTTTCTTTTACAATTTTACGATTGCATATTCCTTCAAATTATTGATCGAATTTAATTCGATTTCCAACGCTTTCTTATTTTTTTTTTCTATTTTCCTTTTCTTTCTCTTTAATATTATTTCGAGTTAAGTTCTCCATGTTTAATGGCAAATCCAATTTGATACATTGAATAGAGAAGAATAAAAAGTAATAAAAAGAGAAAGAGAAATATTTAACTCTGAAGCCAAAGAGAGAGAGAGAGAGAGAGAGAGAGAGAAAGAGTCGAGTACTATATTTGGCAAGTTTTTGTCAGGTTTTACGAGGAGCTTAGCGGCATTGCTTTTTATAGTCGGCGGCACACTCGACAATGTGCCATCATATCGTGGGACTTTTTTTTCTGTATTTTTTCTTTTCTTTTTTTTCTTTTTTTTTTTTTTTTTTACAGACACACTGTCCTTTATCTTTTAAACGATGTACTCATCCTATCTACGATACGTACCTGTCGTCTATTTGTGTGTGGGTATTTGCATATGGGCCGTTAACATAATGGCAGCAAAAAAATATACATATACAATAAATATATATGTATATATAGAACTTATTTTCACATTGTATATTTACAAAAAAAAAAAAAAAAAAAAAAAAAGAAAGATAACTACAAATTATTATCATTATTATTTCGAACAATTATTTTCGAACAATACATTCATTAATTTATTTGTTATATCTGTTTAAAACTATTTACAGAATGTAAATCGAAAGTTATTTAGTTGTTTTGAAAAATCAACGAAAATCTTTTTCTAAGGGGACTAATTTTTCGATTAATTTTTAGAAAAAAGAAAAAAGAGAAAAACAAATACATTATTATTTCATTGTTATTATATTTAATTATTATTATTATTATTATTATTATTATTATTATTATTATTATTATTATTATTATTATTATTATTATTATTATTATTATTATTTTTACAATATTCGTCTATATATACGTATATACATACACACATGCACGTACATAAATGAGTCCCTTTACATATACACACACATACACAGACACACACACACACACACACACATATATATATATATAATGTGTGTGTATATACCTAGATCTATTATCTTTTTCTCACCATTGAGAAATACAATTTTTATGAATGAAAACACCGATACTATTTCGTTCTTCACATAGTTAGTAAATACTTTTTCTTTTTCTTTTACTTTTTCTTTTTTTCTTTTCTTCTCCCACGCGCCAACTTCGTCACAATGACTATAACCATAAGCGTTTACGTATATCTCCTTCCTTTTCTATTCCTTTCTTTTTTTGTTTCTGTCTCTGTCTCATTCATTCATTCATTTAAAAAGAGAGAGAGAGAGAGAGAGAGAGAGAGAGAGAAATATCATTCTTAGAGTGAACAACGTCGTAGAAGGCCGTTTAGTAATTTTAACTTTCGAAAGATATAAAAGTAGGATTTTCTTTCCTTTTTTTTTTTTTTTTTTTTTTTTTTGAAAGAGGGAGAGAGGGCAGGGAGCTAGAGAGAGAGAGAGAGAGAGAGAGAGATAAAGAAAGATCAATCTTCCTATCGGTGGTAGTCATAGAAGATCTTAGCTTAGGTCAACGAACTATGTTTTCCCCCTTCTCCAACCCCCCTCCCCATTCCTCTTCCCCTCTCTTCCTTCACCTTCTTTTCCTTTTTTTTTTCTTCTTCTTCTTCCTCTTCTTCCTCTTCTTCTCCTTCTACACCCAACTCGATGATTTCGTAACATCTATAAAAGGCATATATTTTGTGGCGTTAATGAGAAATAAACGAACCTCGAAGTCACTCCCGGAAATTGCGGTAAATTTGATATAGGGTTATATTTAATAAATTAATAATATATATATATATATATATATATATATATGTATATGTATATGTATATAATTATGTATGTATGTATTTATGTATGTATCTGTACGCGGAAAAAAGAGAAAGAGAGAGTGATATGGCTTATCTCGTCGTCTCTTTTTCTTTTTTCTTTTTTTTTTTCTTTTTTTTTTCTTATTCTTTTTTTCTATTTTCGTTTTTATTTTTTTAACCTACGCTATATATATATATATATATATATATATATATATATATGTATGTACATATATAAAAGAAACAAAATAGGACGGAAGGGGAACATGTTATCGTCAGAATATGTTTTCAGTGAAAAAGAAAGAAAGAAAAAAAAAAAATTTGCAATCGAAACGATAAAGAAGTTTTATTAGAAAAAAAAATCGAAATTCTGAAAAATCATTACGTATTGATAACGAACGATTTGATATCAATTATTTAATATATCCTTAATATAATTAGGTATCGTATTGTCGATAAGACAATTATTATGAACGACGAGAAAGAAAGAAAAACAAACAAACAAACAAACAAACAAATGAACAATAGAAAAAAAAAAGAAAGAATAAACGAAATGATCGAAATTAGAATTGATCGAATGGATCTAAAATCAATTATTATTATTTTTCTCGATATTAAAAACTCGTTGCGATATCGATCGAAGATTTTCGTGGACGACAAAGAAAAGAAAAATAAACAAATAAACAAATAAACAAATAAATAAACGAACGAACGATCATTATCATCGTGAAAACGTGCCAATCGTATCGATTTAATATCAATTATTATATATCCCCGATATTAAACTCGTTGCGATATCGATCGACGAGGATTTCGTGGATCAATTGATAAAAATAAAAACAAACAAACAAACGAACAAACAAACAAACAAACAAACAAACAATCGAACGAACGAACGAACCAATAAAAAATTATAGAAAACTCGGTAATCGCGACGTGACGATGATGACGATAAAAAAAAAATAATAAAAAATAAATTATAACCTTTCTAAATATTTTACTCATGACGGTTGAGTAGTAGTAGAGCCCTTTGTTCAAAGGGTTCATTCCTAAGTAAGTAAGTACGAGGTCAAAGGAGAACGAGGAGGAGAAGGAGGAGGAGGAGGAGGAGAAGCAGGAGGAGCAAAAGGGGGGTAGATTGTAGGAGGTAGGGGTTAGGGGAGAATAGGGGGAGGGAATGGGGGGAAGGGGGTGAGAAGGAACGAATCAACGAACGAATCAACGAACGAAATATCTCGAACTCGGCCGGACGGACGGACGGACGATCGGTGCGCGAGCTTCTTTTTTTGGCCGCATTTGTAAACTGGGTCACGCGCTCGCCTCCGCGCGGATCTTCGCCTCGAACACGCGAGTAGAGCCTGTTTCCGGTCAGGGTGACGTCACTTCCCCTCTCCCCAAGCACGTTTAACGAGTAGACAGTGCCGTACGTATCGTCGTACTTCTTTCCTCCCACCTCCCACCGCCCTCCCCACCATCACCACCACCCCCTTTTCTTTATCTTTCTCTTTTTCTATCTATTTATCTATCTTTGTTTCTCTTTATCTCTCTCTCTCTCTCTCTCTCTTTTTCTCTGTCGTCGTCATGATCTTCTTTGTCTTTTTTCCTTTTTCTTTTCCTTCTTTTCTTTCTTTCTTTTTTTCTCTCTTTTTTTTCTTTTTTTTTCTTTCTCTTTTTTTTTTTTTTTCTTTTTTTGTTAATCAAACAGTCAACACTTCTATCTCGTATAATAATATTAATATAATAATATTAGTATGATAAGAGTTTAATTAAAACTCTTCTTTTTTTAATTTTATTAAAATTTTCTTTGTTTATATATATATATATATATATAGGAAAATATTTGCAAGCATTTTTTTCTCTTTTAAAATCGTTTTTCTTCTTTTCTTTCCTTAAAAAATTTGTTTCCCTTTATCTTTTGTTTTTCTTCCTTCCTTTCTTTTCTTCCTTTAATTTTCTTCTTCTCTTAAACTTAATTCTTTTCTTCTTTTTTTTTTTTTTTAGCTATCTGTCGAAAAACATGTACACGGACGGATACGTACGTGTATATTAGAATGCTTATTTATTATCCGCTGACTCGCGACGACGACGACAACGACGACGATGACGACGACGACGACGACAACGACGACGATGACGACGACGACGACGACGACGACGACGACGACGATGCTTCGAGGAAATCGAGAGGGTTGGCCGCCGGATGAGATCGAGACGGTTTTAAAGGCTTACTTCCAACCTCCGAACGGGAATTAGTTCGTACGTTCTCAATCACTGTTTTAACTTACCGACACGAATCCATCTACGGATACTGTCTCAGTAGTGTTTATAATCCTACTGAGATTTAAAGTTCCTTTTAATTTGATTTCTCTCTCTCTCTCTCTCTCTCTCTCTCTTTCTCTCTCTCTCATTTTTGCTCTCATTTTTTCTCTCATTTTTTTTCTTTATCCTGTTTCTTCTTTTTTTATTCCGAAATCCAAAAAATATATATTCATTAAAATTAGAGAATGATAGAATATATATTTATATATATGTATGTATATATATATATATATATACATTTTTTTTTTTATGTAAAAGAAGACTCAAAACGAATTCTTTTTTTTTTTTTGTTTTTTTTTTGTTTTGTTTTTTAGATTAATAGAAAGTTCCTTTGGAAAGGAAATACGTATTATATATTCTTTTCTTTTTTCTCTTTTATAGAAGTAGTATATTGTTTATATATTTACACACACACACACATATATATATATATATATATAAACGATATGAAAGTGATATAAATTTATGTTTTCTCTATCGTTAAAAAATCAATAGAAATTTATTAGAAATAGAAAATCAATATTTACGAACTCAAGTCTATTTATTTATTGTCAAATAAATAGTCTTAATCAATGAACGAAAATATTTATAAAAGAACGAAGATACAATTCCTTTTTTTTTTTTTTTTTTTTTTTTTTTTTTATTCTTTTCCTTTCGTCGTCATTTCTTTCTCGTAAAAAGGATCCATTGAAATTTATATTGGATAAGAAAAAGAAAAAAAGAATGAAGAAAAAGAAGAAGAAGGAGAAAGATAAATTAATTCGAACGTCAAATTGCAAATCGATAATATACGTTCGAACAAGAAGTATTTTCTTATAAACTTGGAAGAAAAAAGAGAGAAAGAGAAAGAGAGAGAGAGAGAGAGAGGGAGAGAGAGAGAACAAGAAAAAAAGAAAGAAGGAAAAAAAAATCAAATCATTTTACCTACGATAAGGTGTTAACTATAATTATCTTTAAGTCTATCGTCATCGTAGTCATCGTAGTAATTGTCTTACCCGTTGTACCCGTCGTAGTCATATTCGCGCGATTATCAAGTGGAGCCAAGCATAACCGAATAAAATAATAGAGATAAAGAAGTTGCGTCATGGCGCCACCTGAGACCCACGCGTACGAGCGACTTGTTGCGTAAAATACACGCGATAATATACGTTTATTCACGTGTAAGTTACATATACATATACGTATAGATATACATATACATATACATATACATATACATATACATATACATATACATATGCATATGCATATACATATATATATTGTCTCTCTCTCTCTCTCTCTCTCTCTCTCTCTCTCTCTCTCTCTCTCTCTCTCTCTCTCTCTCTCTCTCTCTCTTTCTCACTGTCTCTTTTTTCTTTCTCTTTTATTATCGTTCCGTGTCGCAAATCATCTGCGAAAGTATATCCAACATAAGCTATTATCTGTCTCAATGAGAGAGGGAGAGAGAGAGAGAGAGAGACTCGTTAAGATCATCAAAGGCAAACCTATGACGTTTTTCATCATCGATATGTATTCGAGATAACATCGTAAACCATCGACTTCCTCTATCACACTATTATTCTGTATGTCTCACTCTCTCTCTCTCTCTCTCTCTCTCTCTCTCTCTCTCTCTCTCTCTCTCTCTCTTTCTCTGTCTCTATCTATCTATCGCTCTTTATCTCTTTTTCTTTTTCTCTTTTGAAACATCATTTGAAATGAATGATACTGTATGCTTAGATCGAAATGATATCATCTTATAGTGATAAGTAAAAAATTATTAGCCTTGAATGTATTTTAAATAATTTTCTTTTTAATATCCAAAGGGGATTAAAGTCACTTTGTGACTTTAAAAGGATAACAAAGTTCTTTATCATTGAAAATATTAATTTCAATTTAGATTACGATTTTGAGGAAAGGGAAAATCATCATATCCCTAAAATCGTCTCTCTTTCTCTCTCTTTTTTCTTTCTTTTTTTTTTTTTTTCGAATGAGATTCCATGGTTCTCTTTGAGCTCGCAATACGATTTCGTAATCGTGACTTCTCGTATCGGTATCCGATTCCCCTCTGTCTCCTCCTGCCTCCCTCCCCCTCCCCTTATAGACCACCCTCTCTCTTATTCTCTCTCTTATTCTCTCTCTCTCTCTCTCTCTCTCTCTCTCTCTCTCTCTCTCTCTCTCTCTCTCTCTCTCTCTCTCTCTC